CACGGATCTACGTTTATACGCTTGTTCCTCCGTCGTTTAGCCGTTAAAAAGTATATGTGCAAAATTCTCTAACAAATAACGAATTTTACACTAATTACTCGTTTGAGGAGGATCTACGTTTCTACTTTCGTATCGAATATTTTTATTAAACCGATTAGAAGATTACGTCCGTAGCTACGCGGTCGCAGCAACAGGTAGACATTCCCTAAAAAAGAAATTTCTTGTAAAGTTTCCGATAAGGTAAGGCGACCCTTAAGCTTCTTATCCAACGAAACTTCTTTGTCGCGTGACATTATAAACCGCTGGAGATTCGTATCCACGTGATATATTATTCTCGTGTATCAGGAGAAGTTTCTTCTAACATTTATGAATTCTTCTTACATATATTTTATGAATAGTACCCATTATTGTGTAAACGTTATCAATAAACGTTATCAACGTTCTCGCGTTTCTCGCTTTACGGTACTGATTGTTTTATCTGCACAGGTCGCAACAATAATGCAAATTTTACCGATCGTTCTCTGCATTGATATAACGTTCTTTACACTGTAAATATGCGAAAGATGCGAAACAATGAGCCGTATCGAATAAAGGCAGGTGTTCTAAAGAATAATTAACGTGACGTATGCGATATCGACGAGCGGCGTATTGTATCGCAGCACACAGTATACAATTATTAAAAGCTCCAAACGACCAGCAACGAGTTTTGCAGTTGTAATGATGATTAACGCTTCGTGGAATTTTCAACATTGCTGAAATGCTGTTATAAGCCAGTTGGCTCGCCGGCCCGTGCAGCCGGGCGCACTAAAATAAATTTGATCGTACCGATTCAATTGCGTAATCTATTTAACACCTAAATTTCCGCAGCCTTTTCGTGCATATTCTGTTTATTGAATAAGATAACTAAAACTCACGGTCACATTATTAAAATAGAAATTCCATTTTTCGTGTAAAAGGGGCAATCGATAAAATACTTAACAAGTACAATGTGTAAATGGGGCAATCAATGAAATATTTAATAGGTATACAATTAATATCAAATATTTTATGCAAAAAAGTTTACTCTGCTATTAGAAATTATATAAATATACTTAATATTTTCAATTTAACATATCTTTTTGCTATTCATTCGATATGTTCTAAAAAGCCTGAGGCTACTGTAGCAATTATATCGCCACGTCTCTTCGAAAGACGCACATATCAGGACATATGCGACACATACTCAACACACATATACACGTTTGCGTCGCAAACACGCGTCGGACCTAACTTTTCGATTCAACATTTCGGTCGCTTTCACCGCTATTCTCTTTGTTTCAAGTTCATTTTTATCCTCAAATATAAATCATTTACTATTACAAGTCGTTATTCAATTTTAAATGTTGTCGTTATAATAAATTACTTAACTTATAAATTATTTAATCGCTATAAGGAATGCAATGCTACAATTATTCCGAATTTGCTGGCAATCAGAGGAATGTATATAAAAATAGTAACGCATCTACAGGTGTTTCACCGATCCGCAAAAATCTACATCGAAATGAGTTTCGCGTTTCTATTATTCTATTATTCTAAAGATTTTATTATTTGTTAGGCGTGACACGTGTTTGCGACGCAAATGCGTATATGTGTGTTGAGTATGTGTATGTCGCATATACCCTAATATGTGTGTTTATCGACACACGAATTGAAGAGATGTGGCGATACAATCGCCACACTACATATAAAATTATAAAAAGTTATATTTCAATTAATTATATCTTATATTTGTCTATGTATAGATATAAATAAAATACACAGCATTCTATATCATAAAAAAATAATTGCTATTAGGTTTAAAAAAGAATAAAAAATAACATAATTGATATTTGATGGAAAAGAAACACAATAACTACATGTATATAATGTATACATGTATACATATAATGTAACTACATGTATAAAATAATTCGAAATTGGTACATCTCATTCACAGCTAGTTCTCTCATACTTGTCATTCGATAATTTGTCTTATTCTCTGTCAATTGGGTCGGAGTCGATCCTATGGGATTCTCTCGTGATCATCGCCTTTAATGAATCCGATTTAGGACGCCGAGGGACGGATCAATTAGACGATGTCCAAAGAGATTCGAATGACCGCGGCTCTGAGATTCGGGACAGCCGCAAGGGTCAATTGCATAATCTGACATTGTAGCAGGCATGCTTGATCCGTCCGCCCACTCCGCGTTGCGACGTCATTCTTCGGGGAGGACACGAGGGCGACAGAATCCAATTTCGTTACACGCCGTAAACATTCTCCGTTTCGAGAAAATTATTCGCTTAAACTGGTCTTCACCGGTCTAATTGATCGCGAACGGATTGTTGAGAAGTTTAATTGCAGGTACGCTGTACCGAGACTTCCCGCGAGGGAACGCGCGGAATTGAATTTTGCAGAGTGCCCTAGGGTCAACTGTATTTTCCTGTACCTTTGGTACGCTCCGATCCTCCGTGATCTGGTCATAAAACGAAAAACGAGGGGTCGATGAAAGTGCCCGGGTGAACCTCTAATTCGGTAGAGAACCGCGATAATTACGGCAATTCGTCGCGAATAAACGTGCGCTGCATGCGACGCCAAACGACCGTGGTATCATTAGTGGCGCTTATCTTCGTAACAATGTGCACGTTTTCTTAGCACAGAGCACCGTGAAAGCGTTGCGTATTATTAATGCACGCCGCACATTAACTTTTCCGGTCGAATCGAAGATAATTTTCCGGATGGGCGAATAACGGAAGCGCGCCCATTTAAATTAGACGCCAGAGAGCCTCTGGGCTCTCGCGATCAACGTTTAGTTTAGGGACACTCATTTGTGAAATGTCAAACGACGTCGCAGAGCGAAATCGGCGTACTCGTAGCTGGCACAGTTTTTCCCCAACGTGTAAAGCTCGTGCATTATTCATTTGGCTGTCACAATTTTTTGTTACACGCGATAGTAATCGAGAATTGTTATTTTCGTTACAAGGACGTATCACATTTATCTCACTGTAATAATCATCTCGATTAAACTTACCCTCTATTCGCGGCAGTCGCGTAATATTTGCACGTCTCTTGCAGTTCCATGTTTAATATATAATTTTCGTAGTAGACACACGTGTGTCTGTACAGTTGAGTTTCGCAGACTACATGACAGTTGAATCTGCAGTATATTACTTCCCGTGTAAGGAGTCTGACTGTAATTGAGATTCCGGGATACAAGTCTCGATACAAGTCACGAATTGGCCTGCGAATAACGTTGGATAATTGTGGAGTGATCACGGAGATGTGTGTCTCCCTCTCTCTCGATGCATCGAGATACTGCGGACGAGGGAGTAACAACACAATGATGTGTACATCCCGTATATATCCGGAATAATAGCAATCGAATCCGATGCAAAACACGTCGGTTGAAATGTACGAGTAAAATAACAGTGTGATAGCTTTTATGATAATCTCTCTCATTTTGTAGCGACGCTGAAGTTAATTTCTCTATTAAGAGGTGTAAAACGTATCTTGGATTTGGCGAATGCGCGAGAAGTAATTGAAGTTACATTGTTTTAACGAGTATATATATACATACGTTATAACGCATCTACGTAACGCTTAGCGAAACATATGTGATGCTTATTACGATGAATGCATTTTTTATGTTTTAGAATAATTACGCGTTAACAAATTGCGAGTGAAGATTTTAATTGCAGGCGATACGCGGAATACGAGATGCGTATATTGCATTTATTTTCAATGAGTATAAAGATAAGCTGTACACGTGGCACTCGCGTAATTATTGAAATGCAGTATATATAATACGTAATCTATATCTCACGTTTACAGCTTTCAATGTATGAAAATAAAATTACCCTTGCGACTTTTTTTAAGTCCCGGTAATGGGAAATGTTCAATGTCGTATGGATTAACATATAAATAAAAGAATAATAATAAATTTTTCAAGCTATTGATTGTAGATGTGCTTTACAAAATAAACTCGTTTTATAATGTATAATAAAACTGCTGGACTAAATTGCAGAAAGTATACACTTTGCTTTTTGAACAATTAATATTTTAAATATTTTTTTCTTAAATAATTTCTCTTTCATTTCTCTAAACTTTTGTTTATTGTATATACGTGTATATGAATATTTTATATTCAATACATATTTTTATCCTCCTTTTAGAAAATTTTTTTTAGAAAAAATGTTTACTTTTCTTATTTAGTAAATTGTCTTTTCAAAGTAAATACTAAATAGTAATCATAAATATTAATCATAAATATTGTTTGAGATTCTAGCAGAGTAAGCGAAAGGGAAAATTTCCGTTACGCGGATCCTTCTCGAACGTTGCGACATCGCGATAAATACGTATCCATATAATGGACATTTATCTAATTCCCAACTACGATTAGCGAAAATCGATTTGAGAAATCACTTTAGAGCGTCCGACAACAATAATATCGGGCGAGAGGGACCGTTGCGAACCCCCACGTGATTCGGAAGATTTGCGGGCATTCGTTTTAGTTTAGTAAATCATTCATCAAACAAATATTAATTTTAAAAAATGCGTTTGAATATTTATTAATATATTTTTTAGTACGGATATTATTACTGAAATGTTTAAAATAATGACAATTATCGTGATTATAAAATTACATTATATTAAATTACATATAGATTGTATTACATATAAGTTTCAATTTATTTTACATGTTCTCTTCGCAGCTATTTGATAGCGGAAAGAAAATTGCGACTCATGTTCTTTGTTTTTTTCCTTTACAATTAGATCGAGGGAAGAGAATCGGGTGCGAAGCGTGATTATGCACCCCTGGATGAAGATCAACAAGTAGCATGGACTGGTGGGGGGCGATCACTGTTTGTACGTCGGTGAGGAAGGGGTCGGCGTCGTGGCCTGGCGCGGAGTAGAGTGAGGCCGAGCGAGTGGGGGTACCACTGGCACGGTACGGGCGGAGGGGGAGGATTCCAGGCGGACAGGCAAGCGAGCGAGCGCGAGGCGAGCAGGCAGGGCGAAGCGAGCGCGTCGCGTCCTCGTATCGTTCAGTCGGGTAGGCGCGTTTGTACGGCGTACGGCGTCGTTCCTCCGGTGACATCGCTGCCGTTCGCGGGACGTCTCGACACCGTGAACAGTTGTATACGCGAGCGCGTGTGTGACGTGTGCCTGGTTTTCCGTTTTCTCCGATATCTCGCGATACAACGAAGATAGAGCGAGAGAGGGAATCCGGAAGAAGTAAATAACAGAGGTGTGTTGTGGGGACACGATGAGAGGCGCGTGTGGAAATGATGTGTAGTGTGAAACCGCGTTGAAACACTTCAAGCACGCGGACCGAAGGAGCAGGTAGCTTCGACGCGCAAGAGGACAGTGCAGGCCAACGGCGCCACAAAGGTGAGGGATATACGTGGCGTGGTGTGATTCCGTCGAGGGACGCCAGACGCTGGACCGCCATTGGAGGTGGGGGTGGATTCGGGGACCGTTGACGAGATGCTGAGAAAATGCGTCGCGCGGTGGTCCGGGGCGAGGCCCCGGCCTCTCGTCGCACTGCCCACGTCGCCCGTCTTCGTCGCCTGCGTGCTGCTGCTCAGCGGAACTCTCGGTGAGTGGACCATATCTTTCTTCGAGGTTACGCGCGTTCTTCATGTAGCCCGTGTCGGTGTGTTTGAATCGGAGCTTATCGCGCATGCGCGAACGTGATCCGCGCGCGCGTGTTAGTGCACCGGCGATCGAGGGGGAAGGGAGATGGTTCTCACAGCGGGGCCGCCGGGGCCTCAAGCCGCGTTCTGGGACCTAAGCGAGCCACCATCGCCACGCCGCGCCGCGGCGTTGAAACGGAGAACGCACTGTGCTCCGTTCCTGTCGTTAGACCGTCCGAGGCGAAGGAAAAGGCGCAGCGTGTATTCTACAAGAAACTGGCGATGCCTAGGTGTATACACCTCGTCCGTGAGAAATGCGTGGCGGACGCCATGAATGCCGATCGAGGCGTGCTGATCTCGGTTTTCCTAGGGTTTCTGAAATAACAGAAATAATAAATATTGGAATTTCGATTATCCGATATATAAATAGATCCGAACACATTCTGAATCCTAAGAAAACGAAATAAGTATATACATCTAACGGGATTTCGGTACAAATTCAAGGTTTCTCTCCGCGGAGATTCAACGGTTATTGAACAGCCGCTGGAACGGAATTTTTTTTTTGCGATAACAGATTCGCAAATTATTTTCAAAAAAACAAATTTGTTTGTTCCAAATTGAAGCGAGTGCGTGCAGCCGCAGTTTTCACTACGGTTAACGCAAAGCGAAAGCTCGTGATTGAAATTCGTTTCGGTTTCCATGTCACGAAATGTCGGATAACGAAGAGTCGGATAATCGGGACTATGCAATATTTAACCTCGGCATATCTTTCGCGTTTCTTAAATTAACTCCATCAGGTCGTTATAATTAATTTTTTTGTACGGGTGGGAGATTATTGTCTTGCAGTGCTTCCTCGAGTAATACAAGTTTAAAATTCAGAGTCTCGTATTATCGTACGACCATCCGCCTAATTAATTTTTCTTCTTTCGCATCCGCTTTCGTTTCGCCGATGTCTCTTATCGTAATTAATATTTGGCGAATATTTCTAATATTTAAGTCTTTAATACGCGTGATCCGACAAATTAAATCAGTGTATTTGAACATTTCTCGAAAGCTCAAATGAAAATTCGACGAGTATAAGCTTGTTATTTGGCTCAGAGAAATTCCGTTATATCGAGCATCAATTATTGCGACTTATGTTTCCGCGCGACCACGGATGGTCGATCGCACGCTGCGAAACTTCCGCGTACGGTTAATAGTTGTTTGCAATGCTTACGTAATCGCACACGGTGCAGAATTAACGTTTAACCCAGATATTTTCCCAATTTACGATACACAGATTTTAATTAATTTCTAATAATAATAAATTATAAATTCATTAAACAGTAACTACAATAATTCGCGCGCGCGCGCGCCGATATGTGTGTGAATCGCGCTTTGCACTTTTTCTTTAACCGTGACACATGCGACTGGTATTGCAAACGACGTGCAACAAGGATAGAAGAGAATTGCTCGAAAAATCAAGTCGTACTATGGCACGAGCTGGCTGAAAAGTTTCAAAAAAAAGGGGGAAAAAAAGGATACACAGGAAAGTCGCCGTCAGGCGATTTGCACTCAAAGAAGATGCACTCGAGCGAATAACGTTGTTTCGGTTGCACGTGACACTAGAAATGTAGGTTCGCGAAAAACTTTCCTGTCACGATTCCGGGGGGGTACGATCGATGAACGTCAGACGACAGTTACTAATTTTGGCCCCACAATTCGGATCGTTAATCTATTTGTCTGTGAAGGACTGCCCTAAAGAAAACTGGAGTCATTATTCGTGTCGTTTCTCGATGAACCGTAAATAAAGTAATTCCGTGAATGCCCCGTGGGTCGCATGATTGTAAATCTTTTGTGACATTTACGTAATTGTCGGACTTTCCAAGAATTATTTTTCATTCACTTTCAGTCACATACATTTAAGCGTATTAAGCTTGTTCCGAAGATAGTCAATATAATAAATAATCAAACAAGCGGATTACTTTTTATTGATAGTCCGTATTAAAAATATCTCTTATAGCACGTGACATACCATCACACGACATAATGTATATCTCTTTTATAATTAAACAATCGCTTCTTTATCACAATTTAACGATGCAATATTTTTATCTAAATGTTACAGAAACATGCAGTTTTCGATTTTCATACATATAGTTTTCTTCTGTTTATAAAATATAGTTCAGTTTCGTAATTAAAATATTATGTAATTGTTCGCCTGCAATAATTAAATTAAATTATTATTATATATATACATATTTGTTTAGCCTTATGCTGTATAGAACCGTATGAGTTGCAAAATTGAACTTAAAGAGTAAAATAGATTTATAAAGCATTTATGAATTTATAATTGTAGAAAAAGTTAGTTTACAGTAATTCTCTATTTTCTAAAGAGAAAATATAAATCATTTGTAAACAAAGAAAATTATATATTTTTAAATATAGGTAAAAGCGAAGCTAAAATTTTAAATATTTTAGTGTTTAAACATCGTAGTGTCAAACAAATTTAACGATAGATTTGACAGACGACCGACTAGCGAAAGCAATTCGGGGTGAGAAATTGACTCGCGGTCGCCGCTTTGTTTACCTGTAAGGAGAAGGAACAAGCACAAAGGGGTTTATACACAGGAGGGTTCTTCCCGATGACGCGCTCGATGCTTCTCTTGCTCTAACGAGATGGTTTACCGCCGTTTACCGGGTGACGCGATACGACTTATCGCGGCGCGAATCCGCGGCGGGGAGCGAAGAAAGGAGGGAGCTGCATCGCCCGGGCTGCGTGTAGGCGTGTCGTCTTTCCTCGTTGAAATTCCCAAATGCAAAATTAGTTTAGCCGACACGCCTAATGTGCGCAATGTTTGCCGGTGGAGTATGGCATATTGATGCGAGTCGCGGTAACCCGCTGAATTACAACACGGTATAAAGCACGCCTGACTTTCGACTGACGAATCACGCGATCGTACGCCAAAATGATCTCGTTCTAAAACATTCCATGATGATTAATTGGATAATCGGTTTACGTACGCCTGTACTAAAGCGCGCTCTTGTTTTCCCCGATATTCCGCGAAAGGCGAATTCGTGGGGGATCATTAATCTTTAAAATAATTCGTGAAGTCGGTATAACGGTATAGGCGAACGGTTTCCATTTGCCATTCCACTCGCGATCTTGCGAGTTGCTAAATTCGATCTTTCACGTTGTGTTTGTGTTGTGCGACTCGAGACTTTGGTCCAACCTCGTCCCGCGAGGATTATTATTTGCTTATATTTATCTGCGCCAGTAATGGCTGTTTCGGAACGGCGCCGGCATATCGAACAGTAGCGAACGAGCAAGCCGAAAGGAGCGACCGACTCGAAATGGATACATCTTTATTCTCGTCTCTCATGTAGCGAGATGATCTTTTGATATCATTGGGTATTTCGATACCTTTGCGACGATTTCGTCGTGTTTAAGCCAAGCGTTCTCTCTCTCTCTCTCTCTCTCTCGCTCGTTAGTCGCAGGATTCTGCGTATATATCGTTAGCCCCCTACAATAGAATCCATTGATCGATATTTCTAAAAATACTTGTAACGGAGTAATGAGTAGGAAAATACCGTATAACGGTAACTTGATATCTTAACTCACTCTACAGGGACAGAGTGGGGGGGGGGGGGACTTTTAAACATAGCTCTTTATGACTATTGACGACACAGTACGCAAAACCGCTTCTGTTGATTGCGTAATATCCTGCAAGTTCTTTCACGTTTTCCTTCGCGCTTTCACATGAAAGCCGTACTGTTCAAATAGCAGTATATGAAAAATTCTACTGCACATAAAGAATAAAGAATTGCCCTGTATAAATATTAAAAACTGGATTTTTAAAGCAGTTTTCGGCGAGGAAAGGTTGGATGCTAGACGTACGTAGCTACATTTTACGTTTCTTCTCCACGTGCGAACCTCTTCTCCCAAAACCCCCTCACGCCGGACACAAAGGGTTAAAAGGCCAAAGGCCACGGGCTACGAGAAGCGTATAATATAATGGCGGGCGAGGAAATGAGAGTTGCGAACGTTATCGATCTCTGTACGTACCGCGAGTTACCGCAGTCCGCGCTGATTCGGACAGCGGCGTCCGATTTGGATCGTCACGCGCGCAACGCGCGTGTATCTCCCGGGCGGAAATTTTTGGCGATTGGCAAAAATTGGTAATTGGATAAAAGTTAGGACGTGCTGGGGTCGCGTAAAGGCTGGGGAGGACGAAACTGCTTTTCTTTCGCCGAAATTGCCGGAAAGCATCGTAAACGATTCGGTGGCGGCCGCGCGCGGGCGAAGAGTAGTGACGAGGAGGGATTTTCGCGACCCCAGGTCTCCGGTGCTGTATTGCGGCATTATTACCCCCTGGGAGAAGATGAGAGAGAGAGAGAGAGAGAGAGAGAGAGAGAGAGAGAGAGAGAGAGAGAGAGAAAATGGGGGCAGGAGGGAGAGGATGCCGGTTGTGTTCACATTGTAATCCTTGAAAGGTATTCCGGTCGTCTTTGTCTTCATATGCGCGACTCCGATTTGCCGCGGCACCCAACCGGAAAATATAAAGCGTATAATATACACGGCCCTTCGTATCATCTTTCATCCGCGCGGATTCCTTACTCAATCTGCAGTCCATTCTTCTTCATCGAAAGTATCGAGGGAGATTATCACATTTGTCGGTATTCTTCATTTTTCAACGTTAAACGTTATTGCAATTAATTCTTATATGACAAATCTCTTACAGAACAATTTGAAATTAAACGAGAAATAAGATCTTACTGGAAGTTGGAAACTTTTTTGTTTCTTTTAATAGAATTGAAGAAGCTGCATGTGCTGGTTCTTCGATATTCTTCGTAAGGGAAAATCGATCCTTTATTAAAGAGGAGGATTGGTCGAGAAAAGGCGATTTGCGATAGATGTGGGACGCCATATATATCGTTTAACCACACGCATACATTTCGCCGACAATTTTCTGCTATATCGGAG